ACTGTTTGAATCGGTTCTGGAATTGTTACCGATTCTTCCTCCAAGACAAAGTTCCTGATTTTATTCTTCCCCCCAAACTCAATATCCTCAAAGAACGTAGTAGTTCCCGTCTCAAAAATTGTCTTTAATGTGGGATCATAAAATTTATATCCCCTGGATCTTTCATCATAACCAATAAAATAACTACTTACTGTTCGTGAGTCAATTTTCTTTTCATTTGGCTTATAAGGCCTTGCCTCAGCTAGACAACCCCACACATGGAAATGCTTCAAACTAGGTTGTCACCCAGTCCAAAGCTCATAAGGTGTTTTGGTCGCTGCTTTAGTTGGTACTCTGTTCAGAATATAAGTTGTCGTCTTTAATGCCTCTCCCCAGAGTGACTCTGGTAAGGTGAAATGACAAATCATACTCCTGACCATATATTTAAGAGTCCGGTTTCATCTTTCAGCTACACCATTCATGCTAGGTGATCCCGGCATGGTATACTGTGGGACAATTCCACACTCTTCTAGGTACCTGGCAAAAGGTCTTGGACGCTGTTCACCTGACCCGTCAAATCTGCCATAGTACTCACCACCACAATCAGATCTGACAGACTTAATTCTTTTATTGAGTTGATTTTCAACTTCAGCTTTAAATGTTTTGAACACGTCTAGAGATTGTGATTTTTCATGTATAAGGAATAAGTATGCATATCGTGAGTAATCGTCTATGAATGATATAAAGTATTGTTGACCATTCCACGAAGGTGTAGGAAATGACCCACAAATATCCGTATGTATCAACTCTAAGACGTTTGTAGCTCTATATGCACATAATCTCTTCGCTTTGGTCTGTTTGCCCTTAATGCATTCAACACAAACATCAAAGTTTGTGAAGTCAATGGACTCTAAGATTCCCTTTGACACAAGTCGTTCAATTCTATTTTTAGAGATGTGACCTAATCGCCTGTGCCATAATGCTCCTGAGTGAGTATCACTAATTTTACGTTTAGTACCCCGTGATTCTGTATTAAGGGTTTCATTATAGGTGGTCATAGTATCAAGTAAATACAGATTATCATAAGGCAAAAGTGAACCAGTTCCAACAATATCTGAATTAAAAGACAAACTGAACTTATTGTTTCCAAATGAATACAAATAACCTAATTTGTCCAGATAAGAAACTGAAACCAAATTCCGTCTAAATGACGGCACAACAAAAGTGTCTTTCAAATCCAAATAAAAACCAGTACTCAATAACAATTTAAAATGCCCTATAGCTTCCACCTCTACCGATTTGCCATCTCCAACATATATCCATCTTTCAGAATCAATTGGCTTCTGGTAGCTTAAGCAACCCTTCATAGAAACACCGATGTTAGTAGTTGCACCTGAGTCTAACCACCAAGTGTTACTAGGTACCTGGCGCTAAATTGACTTCGAACGGACCAAAATAGGAAACATACTTTTGAGGATCGAACGGAATTTAAATTGGCAGATACTGAAAACAATTGTAGCTAAATTAAAAACAAGAGAAATAAATTAATTATGCTCACATTATAAAAATAAATAATTATAAATAAAATATATATTCAAATAATGGTTTAACCCATCTCAAGATACTCAATGCACTATCAATATCAAGTCTTTGGACAATAATATTAACTGCTAGAGGTATCTTGTTGTAATAATCAAATATTGACAATAAAGCACGTCCAATAACAAACCGAGTCTTTGGATTGATTTATCATCGACAAAGCAAATCCTTATAATTATCACATGTTTATCATTACAAGTGAATATGCAATTCGACCAAATATTAATCTTCCTTTGGACCGACTAATACTCGCATGAATTTACACAAACACTAATATTCAATATTTTTCACGAACTACCCAATTCAAAAAATGTTACTTTGGTAACTTCTTGACTCAATTTGCTCAAAAAAAATATTAAACTCCCAAAAATTTGAATATTATATAACAAAACCAAAATTTGATTATTTATTTATATATATATATATATATAAATTATATGGCGCGGAGACCACCACTACAATTTGTAAAACAATTACTCGGGAAGGGCCAGGGGCATTAATCAATTTTCCCTAACCCCAAATACTGTCACCGCCAAACCAAACCAACATCTATTGTTCCCACTTCTCAACGCAGGTTCAGGGTTGTTCGCATCCCTGCGTTTAGCGACACGAGTTTTGCGTTTGATGTTGAGGTTTTCTCCTCCGAGACAGGGAAATGGAAGCGGTTTCTCGTGTCGTGTCCAAAGGGGTTTTTGCGTGCGGGTTATCTGAGTTCCCTATTTCACCCTCTAGTGGCTTCGAAGCTCATAGTGGGACAGTTTGGATGTTGCAGCATTGTGGGAAGGGAGAAGAAACAAGGTGGGAATTGCTGCATGAGTTTCGTCTCCCTGAGATTATTGGGCCAGTGTTTCAAGAGTTTAAATCCTTGGAGGTTGAGTATAGGAAGGGATTGACTTTATTTCAAAATCAAAATTGAGATTCACAATATTTACTGATTTTGGGAATCGCAGCATTTCCCCTGCGTCCTAGAACCACATTTTGCTGAGGACAATTACCAATACGCTTAAGGGTTAATTTGGAACATGCAAAAGGGCATTTCGGCTTCTCTGAGATGAAAGCTCACGATACTAAACACATGCAGCCATTATTATTGCCCGTGAAGCACCAGGTTCGTCGACGGAGATGTCGCGCACCCCTGCGACGTGAACATCTCCACCAGCACTGAATTGGGAGTGCCATTAGTGGTGAGTGGCGGCAGCAGAGAGAAGGAGCGAAGAATTAGGGGTTTAGGTCTAAATTGAAATTTTAGGGTTTTGGTAAATCCCCAAAAATGTTTTCGAGTAAACAGAGAGATTATTCTCGACTTAGGGTTCTTAATTAAACATAATTAAAATTTTGTTAGATGTAATTTCCAAATATAAACATGAATCAAGTATGGGTTGCTCTGATACCAAATGTTAGTAAAATGATAATTAAATATGATCTTCAATCTAATGATCAAATAGAAAGTAATCTCATACTCATAAACATGTTGTAAACTAAATGCAAAAGCGTACCTGAATTAGCCATAATGATGATGTCCCTTTTAGAGCACTATTGATCTTATGGTCTTCCATCTGAAGAACACCTATATTTCCCTCTTGGTTTTCTCTCTTGATGGGGATAGAAAGAAAAGAACGAGACTGTAACTACGTTCTGTCTACGTGCTCCTAGAAGGGGACCATGACCCCTTAAAATAACCAAAATTAGGTTAATTACTTAAGTTTTAGTATTTCCAATTTGGCCCCTCATCAAATTAGAAATTGCTCTATGGTCTCTACACAATTTTATTTTCATGACATATGCCTTTAGCCAAACCTTTTTAGTTTAGTCAGATCACTTTATTATTTGACTTAATAAATAATGACTCTAACACATTTAAATATGTATCATATATATACATGACCCAAATTTTGCCAACAGGTGACACATGTAAGACTCGAACTTCCCCTCGAGCGACTTTCTCATGGATAAAATGAATATACATCTCGATATGTTGAGTGCATTGATGTTGAACTAGATTTTCAGATGGATATATCATACTAACATTATCATAATATACTAATGTAGCTTTTAAAACAGACAATGAAGCTCTAGAAGAAGGTTTCGTAACCAACAAGATTCATATACCACATTAGAAATACCTTTACATCCCCTTTGCACTTGACTATGACAAAGTAACTTGTCATTTAGTGGACAAAGAAACAAAATTATCACCAAGAAACACATAATAACCAGATGTGGAGCGTCCCGTGTTAGGGCACTCACCCCAGTCAACATTTGTATAAGAAAAAAGGGTGGATGTGGATGATGGATAGAGATGCAAACAATGATTAAGAGTGTATGGTAAGTATCGAACAATGTGCCTAAGAGCATGCATGTGTTCCTCCCTTAAGTCATGCATGTATAAATACACTTGTTGTATATCATAAGTAATATCTGGTCTCGTGAAAGTGAGATATTAAAGACCCTTTGTTAGGCTACAAAACTCCCAAAAAGTTTCATTATCAAATTCCTTACCAATATCACACTACATGCGCTCTTGATATTTCGTTCAAATTGTGTGCGGATGAATGCTCTAAAGGATAAAATAGTAGAAAAAAACCTTAGGCTTCTTAGACAATAGAAATGTCCACAAAAATTAGAGTAGTCATTTAACAACAAAATATGATAACAATGTCTAGAAGAATTCAAAATAAGAGATATCCAAATATTAGTATGTATAATATCAAAAGGCATAACAGTGGAAGAATTGGAAGAAACAAATGGTTACTTAACATGTTTCTGAAGAGAATATGAATGATATATAAGATCTATAATTTTTATTATACTCAATAAATTTATTCAATCCAATAGAGCCTAAAATAGATGATCTAGATAACCTAATCAAGCGTGCCATAATGATGGAGTTAAAACAACAAAAACAAATGGTGATGCAACTTAAGAGGTAGAAGTGGTTGTGAATGGATAAAGGTCTTCCTCATTTTCACATCTCATTAGATGCATTCCTGTCTTAAGATCTTGCACAGAAAAGCCAATAGGATCAAATCCAACAATCACCAAGTTATCAATTCTAAACTTTTTAACAAATACTAAGTTTTTAATAATTTGAGGTGCACGAAGGACATTCTTTAAGGCTAAGGGAGGATTTGGGGAGGTAAACTAGTGTGACCATAACCATGAAATTGGAATTGAATAATCATAAGGCGAGAGGGTACCTTACTCGGATGTCATGTAGGAAGTTGCAACAATATTCATATACCAATTTTCATATGACAGATTAAGCCAAAGAGTGTGCATTACGGTTGTGATATCTATTGGAGTTTGTGAAGTTATTATCGTAATGTATACATGTGGTAATATTTGCTCGAGGATGCCTGGCTAGCGCTATTGATTTTGATAAATTCCAGGCCGAATCCAAAGTGAGAAGGGTGAGGAGGGGTATGGATAAGGTGGAATATCCCAAGACACTCATGGCTACAACCACTGTCCAACAGACCACTAGCATTGTTCTGTTTGTTGGTGTTAGCCAGATTACTTCTGCTAGTTACCATTGCGGCCACCAGCACCTTTCTTGTCTCCATCTTGATTACCGTCATTGTTTCTGTCATTATTATTGCAGTTTTGGCCTTTCATATCACCATGGTTGTGGCGATTGTGGTAAATCTTGTGGGGAGAGGGAGAGTCGTCATTATTGTACGTCACCATGGCAGAATCCACGCTAATTACAATTTTCTTTATAAGACCAACTTCTTTTAAAGTGAGTATAGAGTGGGCTTGATAAAATTGTGGGAAAGGGTGGTTTGGCGAATGAGCATCACAACTCCATTGTAAGCCTAAGTTAGGGCAACAACCATTTGAAGACAAGACAATTATTTAAAATCGGTGCACCAATATTGTTGATTCGACAACTTTTTGAGTAGTTAACAATATGCCAAAACATTTGAAAAACCTTCTATATTTGTATGGAAGAGAATTCTTTCTAAAGGGAGACCGCTCAAGTGTTCTTATTGTCCTGGAATACATCATACAATCTATTTCATGTCTCCATTGTTGTTACATCTGGTTCAAGAATGGTATGCAATGGGTCGTGAGAGATTATTGCATAGATCCATGGAAAAACTCCAGTATCAAAGGTTGACCGTAGTTCATTTTCAACATCAGTGGTTGACACTTTCTCCTTACTTGGCTTTGATGAAATGATGTGGTGAAGAACCTTGTGGGAACGTGTTCAACAGTTTTATCGATGTTGCATATTCGACGTTTTTCATCTCTTGAGTGATGGAATTATGATTCTTGATGTTTGATACAACACGAGCAGGGTAGAATTTAGTGGAATCAATCATGATGATTGACATAAAAAAAAAAGAAAATAAGAAAAAAATGATAAAATAAATCCTAGGAAAGAGATAAAAAAAAAGAGATTATTTCAATTATAGATATCTAACACCATAAAACTATGATAATTTATGAACATCAATACCTTTATCATGATTAAATGTTTAATATAAAATATTCTATCATTAATGTCGTTACTAAAAAAAATAAAAAATTCATTAGCATTAAAAAGATAAAATCCTATAAAACTATAAAAATATAAAATAAAATTTACGTTAAACTATATAAGATCTAACCATTAAAAAAATTATTTTAATTTTAAAAATAAATTTTTATTATGTTGTATATTTACTAATTATAAAAAATATATTTTAAATTAATCTCTAACTCATAAATATAAGAAAATTTGTAATCTATAAAATAAAAAATAATAAACATGGTAATTGATTCTATTAAAAAAAATTGACTATGAAACCTAACATGAAAGATGATCAATTAATTAAATATATAAATAATATAAAATAACTAAGTATACAACTAATTGTTAAAAGATCATAAAAGAGTGATATGATTAATAAAATTAATATATATGGATAGAAAAGTTAATAATTTAACAATAATAGACGAATAAGTTTAAAAAAGTATCATTACTCAATTTTGTCCGAGTAATTAAAAAAAATAGATTTTTTTTTAATTTTACATTGTTCAAAGCTTTTTAATAAAAAATATTAAAATGTGAAAAAAAATATAAAATATGAAAACATAAAAAAATTGAAAAATAAATTATTTTATTAGCATTTACATTTTTAAGGAAAAAGAAAAAGAAAAAAAAGATGGGTTTTTTTTTTTAGCCCAATCCATGAGAAGAATGCCGCTTTATTTAACCTCTTTAAAAAGAGAAGGAACAGTAATCTTCCCCACCACAAATCACCACTGCTCCTCCATCTCACCCTAGCTAACCGCCACCACCGCACCAGTCCTGGCCACTTCCGCGACCGCCTTCATCCCCAAAATCCTTTCTCCTTCCCCTCCGCTGCCACCTCAATCGCGCCACCGCGAATCATCCCTCGGCAACCCCACGGCGACCGCACCCCCCGCGAACCGCCTTTGCCCTCGGCCCTCATTAAGCCCCAAATCCACTCTTTTCTCCCCCTTCACCTGCGCCTGCATCGGAGGCCCCTTGTGCTCCCTTCACCGCGTAGCCAATCGCGCCACCGCGAACCCTTCCTCGGCGGAGCCATCGCAGGCCACACTCTCCCGAGCAGCGAGCCACTCGAGGCGGTTCGGAGTAGGGTCACGAACCCACCCCTCTTTTCATACCTTTCTACTTTGCTTCGATTTCTTGGATGCACCTTTCTTGAGTCTGGACTGTTTTTGTTAATTTTGATGTGTTTTGGCTGGATTGAGTATTGATGGTTTCGTTTAGTTTGGGTCCGTTTATTTCCGTGTTGTGTGAGTTGTTTATACTGTTTCGAGGGTCTGAGTTGGGTTTTGTCTGATGTGTGCTGCTGTCTAGGCCTGGTTTGAGTCTAAACGGTTGTAGACTGGCTTGGGCAAGTGCGAAGCTTGGTTTGGATTTTGGCCTGATTTATTCAGAGGCTGAAACCAATATTTCAGCGACCCGTCCGAGTCTGAAACCTACCCAAAAAACAGAGACCAAACAAAAAAATCCAGAAAGCCAAAACCCTTCCTGATTCTTCACGATGTCCGCCACCAGGTGTTTGCTGCGCTCCGCCGCCTCTCGCGCTGCCGGTGCGGCCAATCTAGCAGCTGGAGCTAGACCGAGACCGGCACGATCTCCGTTTCTTCTCCCAAAGCAAACCTCTATCTCCAATCGCGTTTTCAGGTAACGTTATTCCTCTCTATCGCATTTTCCGAAACATTTTCAATTTGATTAAAACATTCTTTTGTTTGGGACAGGTTACCCGTCGAAGCGAGTTTCTGCGTGGAATCGATGCTTCCTTATCACAGTGCTACTGCTTCCGCATTGCTGAATTCAATGCTCTCTGTGTCTCGCCACTCCTACGGTTGGACCCCTGAAGGTATTCCCTCCAAACACTTTCCTTCCATTATCTTCAACGTAGTTAATTGGATGTGTATGTGATACATATGATAGAAGAGCTAAGTCTGAAAACATGCTAAACATTTTCCTCGGAATATGAGTTCTAAATTGTTTTTTTTCCTTTCTTTATTTGATGGATTGTTAGCTGAACGCTACGGATTATACAGACTGTGTTATGCGAATTGTCGTAAGTTTCTAGGTTTTCCAGAAAAATAGCGAAAAAGTCTAACGCATTACTTTCATTATCACGGAATATCATAGGGAAACATTTTTTTCTTATTTATTCGGTTGCACAAAATAGGATGTAAATTCTTTTACTAAATAAATGTTTTCTTGTTTTTTTTTTTTTTTTTTTTCCTTTTTTGTGGACGGGAAGGTTTGTGTGAACAAAATTTTTAGATGAAAGTAGTGTTGGGTGCATATGGGTATCTATTATGCTGTTCACACATTTTATTGTTTTGGGGTTAGGTTCTCTCTTGCTCTCACAATGAAAGGATGTATACTTTTTCCTCTTTGTAGGGCAAGAGAAGACTAGATGAAGATCAAGCATCAAAGATGGTGTCACACACATGGACTTTTTTCAAAATTTGGGTGGTTTTGAAGCATTAAGAACTTGACTTCTGTAGATTAGGGAGGGCATGAAATATCTAAGTTGAGTGTAACAATGACCACCATATCTGATGAAAACTAATGTGGGGTTGAGTTATTGAGCAGTTTTCTCGGTAACAAAGAACTTTCACTTTGAGTTATTGAGCAGTTCTCTCTCGTTCTCTTAAAAGAAGTGTTATGGATTGTCGTATTTAGTGCATCCCATTTTTTAAAATGCCTAGAATTATATTAGTTAACGTTCACTTAAGAGATAATCACATGAAGATCATACTGATTGATTGTATTCACTCAGATTGCAATGATGATGTATGATGATGACAAAGGGTTCGAGGAAAGTTTTATGTAGATGCGCTTGAAAAAAGGTGGTCAAGTAATTTTTTCTTTTGGGATTTTTATTAGTTATTGTACACCTTAATGTCAAACAAGCATTTGCTGAAAGTATATAAATGACACAAAATTTGCAACAACTAGTGTCCACTTTAAAATCATTTTGATATTGATTTCTATATACTATCTGTATATGCATACTCTATGTTGAGTTTCTGTGTGGGAATGGGAAAGATTTTGTTCGTGGATGAAATTTAATACCGTCCATTAACCAATCCAGAATGTCAGCTATTTCTTATTTAGTTTGCTGGTGCAAAAAACCATTATTGACTTGGACACTGTTAATAATCTCGGGAATGATGCTAGTTTCCGGTCCGTAAGCACTTAATTTGGAATGTATTCTGTGTAAAATGACCAATGTGTATGCTGCCGCTCCAAACTTTTTTATACATTTAGACTTTCTTTGCAACTCTTTATTTTGACTTGGCTGTTTTCTTGTTTAGGGTCGTGATCATTTGCAATTTGGCTTTTAGGCTTGAGGACGAGCCATGTAATGTTTCGTCATTTCCATTTTGCTTTGCTTTCCCCTACCTCCACCGATTTATCTCTTGAATCTAACTGATTTGCATTTTAAAATTTACTAGTATAGATCAGTATGACTATTAAATTATGTTGACCTTTTGATTCTGATTTTGTATGGTAGTATATAAATTGAAGTTTTCTCAAAATTATTATCTTTTTTAATTCTAGATGGATGATTGCTGTCTTTGGATGCGGTGCATCTGCGCATACTTTCCATGGATTTCAGTTTACTTTGTTAGGCCTGTTTAGAGAATTTTTGTCCTTGGTTGAATATCAAAACCCCCAAGACTTAAATTGTACAAGCATCCAGAGCTGGTACCATGCTTAGGTATGATTACTCTTTAGAATAATATTATTGCAGCATTACTTTACCTGCGATGGACGATGATTTAATTTACCCTGTAATTGGAAATGGGAATTTAATCCGTGTTAGCAAACCTTACCCTCACACTTATTTTCAAATGTTACACGAGCAAGCATGTACGATGAATTAAGACGTCAACTGATTAATTTGGGTGGAGATTCAGAATTGATTCAGTAAGTTGTGTCAAAGTCATTTTTTTTTCTTTTGACGGAAACGAAGTGCAAAACATCAGATATCTTAAAATATAAGAGCAAATCTAATTCGGAGCCCTATAGATGGCTTCCACTACCAATGTTCAGTATTATGAGAACTATCTGAGGAGCCTCTTCATCTTACATGCCAATGTTGGCCTCCCTTGCCATGCCGATATACTCTTCATCCTACTGTTTCATAAGGAAAGAAAATTTTCACATTTCACTTTACCTCGTCTTTACTGTTTATTAATGAAAAATACAACCCATCTTTTATACTTTTATAGCTTGATAAAAAGGACGGTATCCGTTATTAAATTGAACGCTTTATCATCTGGATGTAGGTTGTTCAACTAATAAATTTTAATATTCTAACACTTAACGCTTCAATTTTTGAAAGCATGTAATTGCAAACAATTGACACAGGCATCACACTTCTTGCCTCTAATTAATTTACCAAATAATCTCTATCCTAGAACTCACATTTTAACCTATTCTATATGTACATGTGTGTTAAGCAATTTGTGCACGAGTTTCTCTAAAAGAATTTTAAGAAAAAATATAAAACGTAAAAATGTGTTTTCCACATTAAACTAGTGAATAAAGTTAAAAATGAAATTTGAAGAATTTTGGAGAATTTATTTCAGAGAATTTCTATAAGATAGATTAGAAGTTAAAAATGCATAATCAGAACCATTAGTGTAAATAGGCACAATAATATGAAAAAACAGTTTAGGTTAAAATAAAAAAGGATAAAATAACAAACAGTTTTATCTTTATTTATTATTCTCATGACTCGCTCCTTGACTTCAATTATGGAAATGCAATTTTATTGTGTCAAATTTCCATTTTCAATGCTAATTTCTCTTAGAATATCCTTTAAATTTTGGTTCTGGTGGCAAGCAACATCGCCTCGTTGAAGGTGGTGGTGGCGTTCAGAGAAGATAAACTTGGACTACTGAATTAGGTTTTGTTCATCATATTATTTGCAGTGATGTTTCGTTTACCCATCGATATTAACTCAGGCCCATTTATTTTGCTTCCATTTCACGTTAATTTACCCGAAGTAAAAACGCAGATAGTAATAATTAATAAAATGTTATATCATTTTACCAAACCGAGGGCAGTGCTGTTTGTTGGTTAAGATGGATGTTCATAAATTAAAAACCAGGTATAATTTATGTACAATTTTATATTCGGTGCAACTAGAGAGGATCAAGTTTGAATGAAATTTAAGCATTGACGTAGAAAAGTTTATTTGTGCATTTGAGTACCCCACAATGGACAGTTTAATTTTGCCAAATGGGAAGAAACCGTATACAACAATACACCACTCTTGCCTGTTCATCTAGTTGTTTGGTGGTTGGCTTTCTAATAAACATATCTACAAAAGCAATATATGCTTCCATTCCATCAAAAATATAGATTTGGATGGATACAATAATTATTTGGGTATCAAGTTTTTAACATTCTGGCAATTAATAGCCCTCTATTCCTATTCTAGCATATTTATGAGAATTTTGCTTCCTAACATTTCGAATTCAATCACTAATATGAACAAAATTCCATATCATGTAAAAAGAAATGTGACGCATGCAACCTATAAAACTTATTATTTATGAGTATGAATGACACCTGATCATGGAATTTCATTTTGCCAAAAAAAGAAATTATGGACTTTTGACTTCAACCCGATTTCTTAACCACTGTTTTATCTTATTTGCGCCAAAGATATGAATAATGATTGCGCCGCTTCATTAACGTAAACACGTTTTCTCCATCATCAATACTTAAAGTGCAAGACCCAATGCACAGGAAACTGCAAAGAAACAGGTGATGCCGATAACTATATTAACATACTACTATACTTAAGTTCATTGAATACAGTTGCTGATGAAGATAATAGCAAATCTTGTTCACTTGACACAAGGTTGTTCAAGTGACATCAACTTAACCCAAAATGATGTCAAGCATGTTAAAGAGGAAATACAAGCTAATTAAAGTGAGAATGTATACCAACCATCCATCACCAGTTAAGTTTTACCTTCAGAGTATCCATTGCACCATAACCAAATCATAAAGCTCTTTTTGCACTCTTCTATGGGATTATTCTTCAACCACGTTCACCAATTCATATTCAACCAGAGATAGGTTGTTATCCTCTTTAACTACAAAATCTGCAGACTCAGTTACCTCGACACGTCCCCATTTATCAACAGCCAGCCTCATTGATCCCTTGAACATGTCAATCTTTGCATTACGAAGAATTAATGTAGATCCAGCCTTCATCAAATCAACTGCATAGAAGAAAAATGTCATCTAATCACTCAAACAGAACATATATTTGGTGCCTTGATTCTCTGTCTACACATACATCACCACCCATACCATATTACCTACAAAGGAAGTACATCAATGTAACTTTCACCAATAAAATTAAGCTTAAACTTTATTTAAATGCAAATGCTTATCCATAAAGACTTACAGAGTATGAACTATTCAAATAAAAATTAAACCCGTCACTCAATGTTTTGTTAGTTCAAACTCCTCATTTTAAGTTGCTTGATGAAACTACTTCTACCAATGACACATCGGATTTCTGCAATAGAAAGTTGTTTCAATTAACTAATTCTTTATTTAAGTATCTCAAATAACAATTTACATTCACATTGGAGATGCTCTACAGAAACAGAAGGCACTAACAAATTCAAAAGCGTGGATCCGGAAAAGTAAAAAATCATGATGTTGTTCATCAGTATAGAAATAAAATTTAAGACAAAGTCCATTTGTTTCAAAGTGAAAATTAATCTAGCAGGAGTAAGTGTGAAAATTAATCTAGTAGTAATAAGTCAATGAAAGGGGCATTCATGGTAATTCAATCCCGTGAACATTGGAAATCATGAAATAGCAAGAGAAATATTAACAAAAAGTTGGAACCGGGTGCAAACAAGCATGAACTAAAAACGTTGATTGAAGTAGTTTGGATTTGGAATATAAAATTAAAAACAAGACGCCTAATCTCATCACTATCACCTTCTAAGCAAAACTTGTTTTTTCATCACAAACACACAAGAAAAGGAACAATGTTACCACAATCACACTTTCATTTCCACAATAAAATGCCCCCGGACTATCATATCATATTCATAGTTCATATCAACTCCTCAAGGAATGGGAAAACAACCAAGATTTATCCTTCATCAAAGGAGCAGAGCAAGAGGCACAGGAATTTACCAATTCTATGCTGGTTAACAGATTATATAACTGAATCAAACCTCTTGGATGAAGATCAGTAAAGCAAAAGAAAGAGATCTCAAGCGGACGATTAAAAACGATTCAGGTATCACGCTATCCAACCAAAAATATATGGGAACAAAGGTTTATTTTATCTATCGAATCAGATACTTATGATCCACTCACCACCATCACAGACTCAGATGCATTCTTGAAACCAAAGAACCTAAAACGCCCAATCTCACAAACCGAGAACAATGCAGATCGCTAGATAAAACCCCAAATGAAAAAATAAACTCCAAATTGAGACAAGTAAAATAGTGCCCAAGTGGAAAGGTTCCGTTTTGATAAAAGGGAATTTGAAATAAGTAAAAAAGAAAAGGTTTTTCGAGGATGGGTAGGTGAAATTGGAGTACCTTGTTCATTGCGAGCGGTGAAGATGATGGTGCCGGTGTCGTCGCCGATGAGGCACTCAGCGATGACAGTGGGTTTGACGTTGTGGGCAGAGGAGGGCCGCGGTTTGTGTACGACGGTGTCGGAGGACAAGACCTTAGCCACCAACGTGTGACCATTGGTTCCAGGTTTGAGCTGATCCACTTTAGTGAACACAGGTTTTCTCTTGGCAGGTTTGTTCGTATCTTGCTGAGTGGAATTGGATGATGCCATTGAAATTGATGATTACTCGATCGATCCGAACGACTCACACACAAACACACTCACTCACTCTTCTCTGTAAGACTCTTTTAACAAACACAAGCCCTACCAGCAGAAGAACCAGTTTCATGCATTTCTTTCCCACCTCCCATTGCACTTCCTTTGTAAATCAAGCGACACGTTGTTTCCACTTCGATCCACAAAGGTCACGTGACTTAAGTTTTCCCATTTTTTTATTCAATATAGCTTTAATTTACGTTCTATTCAGTACGATTATAATTTCACACTTTAATATCTTTTATAATTGATGTGAATTTAGCTCGTTTCATAAAAATTGAAATATTAAACAAGGGGAAAATTCATAAATTATAAAAATATAAGAACTAAAAGCATTATTTGTAAATACAAAGATTAAGATTAATTTTACTTTAAATAGAAATTTGAGAAAGTCAAAATACGTTTTAACTTTATTTTACTTTTCCTTAATGTAAATATGTTTTTTTTTCAACCCAATATTCTTTGTAGTCTAATTATTTTATATTTTTATTTTTGGTAATCGTACGCTACATATACATTGGATAAACTCATTTATGAGCATCTTTAAAATGGACAAATAAAATAAGAAAACCCATAAAATAATAAAAAATTTACCAGATAATTTATAAAAGTATGTTCAAATAAATCTAAAATATTATATCTATGTTTTATTTATTGAATAAGCAATATACGGTTATATCTATACTCTTTTCAAATAAGAATACTTCCATAAATAGTTTTCTTTAAGAAAACTTCTAAAAAATAGTTTAAGTAATGTTATTAACATGATTTTTAAATCATTAGATAAATTTTAAGTAAGTTTTTGTTAATCTCTGTAAATCTATTCTGTCTATTTAATGAAAATTATGTTAGTTTATTTGGCAATAAATATCTGAAAAAGTGAGTTAATGCTTAAAACATTCAGTGGATTTTACATTATTACTATTAAATATAAAGAAAAATAATGGTCTCAAACTTTTGCATTAGTTTTGGTTGAGATAGAATGAAATTGTTTGGTGTCTTCTTCCTATTTAGTTGGTCATATTTGAACTTTGATGGATGAAATCTATTTAGGTTTGAGTTTCCATGACACGATGCACGCACCCTTTTGGAATATGATTGAAATGCAAGATGGGTTAAGATGTGTTGGCATCCCCCACCTATCTATCCAACATTATGTCATTGTTGAATATGATTGTTTGGAGGGAACCCATTGTGGCTCTCCAATTGACCAATTTCGTGAATTGGTGCAAGATGTTGACAGACTGAGACACGAGTTTTACCATTGCACCTTTGTCCATGTTTGGAGGGATTCAGATGAAGTTATTGACGCACTTTGCAAAGCATGTTTTACCTTTACAGAATATTATACGAGCATTGTTCAAAGCAAGAAGAGTGACCAAGTGTTATTGCAAGACCTATATCCAGGTTCTTTGAATCAGATTGACACAAGACATTCAAATTGTACTTTGTTGGATTCACACTATCATTTGAGTCCCTGTTTGTTTTCTACATTATTTGCAATTTCGTCATAATAAAACATAATATTCATTGTCTGATTAAAATGCATCATTCCATTGAAACGCTTGAAACTCATGTATATCATTTATCCTTCTTTGATGTGCATGTTTTCTGTTCTTCACAATATGAAAAATTTATACAAAATGCTTTAATCCATATGGTATGATGTAGCTTATCTTTCATGTTTTTCATAACTATTTAACTCTAATCTCAATAATTATTTGGGTTAAAAACATATTGTATATTTAGACTTTTAGTACTTATATTATTTTATTGATTTAATTTTTTATTTTTAGTTTAAGGTTGTAATGATAACTTCTAAATCATTGAAATTAAATATATATATATATATATATATATATATATATAATATTAGAAGAGAAATTATTATTACAGTAAAATTTAGAAACTTATTTTTTATTTTTATTATTTATTTAAGAATAAATTTTTAACATTTATTATCTTCTGCTATAGGTAAAGTTCTTTCATAAATGGATTATTATATAAAGATAATCATTTTCCAAAATATATTCATTTTTGCAACTTATTTTAATATTATAATTATAAAATAAATAAATCATGGGAAAAGTTATTGGCAATAATTGAGAATATAATAGTTAGACAACATTTATTATCTGATTTGATTAGTTTTTGGTGATGGAAATGATGGTGAAATAAAATATTAAAGAAGTTGGGATGCATCAACCAAACCTTCCTTCCTCTTAAAACCATTCAATCTATACACCCCTCATAAATAAAATTATACTTTGTTAACCATAACCATATCCATAACCTGTCTCAACTCAACAACTCTAGTGTGACAGACATCACATATATATTTTAGATTCTGTTGTGAAACTCAAATCAAAGTTTCAGAAGCTTTGTGAAGAGGAGGATGGAGCTGTTACAGGAATCGTGGTATTCCTTCACGGGGTCCATTTCTTTTTCCACGCTCTTACCCAACGCATTGCTCTCCCTTCTCTGTCTCCCAGGTACTCTCTCTCCAATGTAACTTGATTCATCTGCTTGTAGCTATCTCTAATTATTTTGTTTCTAATTATTTTGTTTCTGTGTTTATCTGAAGTTTCTTGGGGTTCTTTGGGTGGTAGCGTTCATCGATTTTGAGGACAGCGACATGATTTATCATGCATGTGCAGGTAAAGTTCGTCCTCATCCACCAGATATTATTACGTTGTCATTACTTGCACTTTCCGTTACATTTTGTAAATATATTTTACTTTTTAGGACAGGAATAAGATATGGACCACAATATTTCAAATAAATTAATGTAAAACTCTGAATATGTCCTTCATCCCAATGGTTATTCTTCTAATAATTTATTTATTTTCAGAACAAAAAATTAGCCTCCAAATTAAGGATGAACATGGTCCATCATGAGCATGTATGGTTCATGAAAATGGATTCGGCGCATTTTGTTAGGAGGAGTTGAAGTTATAACTTATTGCTGATTTTATTTTACTTATTTTGACTTTAAATAAACGGTCCCTTGATCGAAGCATGTATTTATTTATCATAATGATCATGGTTAGTGTTAATTTTTCCACGTCAATTTATATATTAATCTGAATTTGCCAACCGTTTACATGATGCTGTCAAAGTACAAATAGATATCATGAGTTTGTGACATATAGGCGGTGAAAATTGCATTCATGAGCATCTCTTGTTCCAATTTTAATTATTGTTTCGGAAGTGGGGCTCTGATACTGGTAGGTTCCGGGCCTTGGTCATAGGAAAGCAAAAGGTGAGGCGGTAAACAAGCATAAGCTTATTATGATAACAGATTCAAAAGAATCTACAACTATACAATTGGATAATGTGATTTAATTTGTGGAGGAGGAAAACTTATCAGGGTTAGTGGTTTGATTGTAACCTACTTTAATAAGTAGACTATTAATGACAATTCATTGAAACAAAGGATTAGTTGTTCTGACCCTAAAATAAATGATGGAATGAACTTTAGATCAATCACAGAAGTCTCACATTAATTAGAATAAAATAATTAGTCTTTTGAACTGACTTTCCTATTGTGTTTAACTTGTAAAATATTGATTTACGAGCATCATTATCTTGAAGAAAGAGATGGATAGATGGCATTACACACAAAGTTTGATATCTCGTTTTTATACCTTCTGTCATGTTCTTAATTTGACACTCTTCGTATCAAGTTTTGCCTCCAATAACAAATTATATTTGTTTTACCTATTAAATAACTATAATGATAAAAACAATCATGTATAAACTACTTCATTCCAAACTTGACTTCAACCGATCAAGTTAAACACAATCAATAATTTTCCAAAATCAGGTTTGCAAATACTCATTCAAACAAACACATACACGTTGGAAGTGACTTTGTATAATTGCATAAAAGAAGTCATTTGAGAAGGGAAAACAATGGATGGCTTTGTTCATTTATTTACAAGTTGGTTGATGAATCATAAGGAATGTATTGGGCTTCACTAGTCAATAAATATTTATCAGATGTTTAGACTACGGTGCATGGATGTAGAGTGATGAAGTATGCAGTTTCTAGGTGGTGAATTTTATTAATAAAATTAGGACTTTGGATGAAGTAGAATTTTGGTTGGATTGTTGCTGATTTTCTGAAATATGGGTATTCCATGGGTTGTGTGCATATACTGTGGCAGGTAATCATTCATCTCTTGGAATATATGTCAAACATATTGTGTGCAATTGGTGTTATAGGGGAGTTAAATACAAGATGCACGAGTTTTCAACCTTATAATTAGACACAGGCACAATTAAAAAAATATGATTTTATTTTTTATGAACATGTTGTCCTTTCAAGTAAATAGATGGTATATTTTGGAGGAAGTTTGGCATGGTATTTTTGGTGATATATGACTATCATGAACAATAAGCTATTTGAAAAAAAAAAAAATACAATCTCATTCCATATTCTCTTTGTTGTGGATTGATAATAGAATTGGCAGTTTTTTTTCCTGTAATATATATTCTTCTTTGCACTTCCCTAACAGAGGCACATCGATAAATTTTCATAGTATATTTGCCTAGAAAAAAAAGATGTATGATGTCAATGCTGGTAATCTGTTTTGTTTTCTTTAATAATAAATACTAGAAACACTCTAAATTCTTCTAAATTCCAATACAAAATACTTGAATGAAAGGCTATGTTAATTTTTAGCACATGTTATGGGAAGAAAATAAATGTATTACTCTGACTCTCAAAAATAAAACTATCATCGTGATTTTTTATCATTGAGATGGTCCAGTTTTAGTTTAGCTCATCTTTGGTCCACATAATGTCAATTTTTGTTTAACTTTTACACATTTTAAATTACTTATATTTTATTTTTAATAGTTTAAGCACTCTTCAATTGGTTTCACCAGTATACATCTAATATTTGAAATAACATAAGTACATGCTAATTTTTTTTATTCATATAAACATTAATCTATTATTTAAATATTTTGGGGTCATCAACATGCTTAGCAGGTACTTCACAAATATTTGCTTTAATGACAAGAGCTTAACAAAAAAAGTTTTTTATATATAATAAGAAAAGAGGTGATATTGGATTCCAATGAGATGGCATTATGCTGCATTTGAATTTTCAATTTGTCTGTATAGCTTCGGCTACATGAGCTAAAACCAAAAACTGTTTTAGATCATCAATACTTAAAAAAAATGGTTCAAACAAATCAACAAACAAGAAGAGATTAAATAAAATTGTGAACATTGACAACGAATAAAAACAAAAATATCACGTAGAGGGACATGACAAGAAGGAAAAATAGGAAACAATGATAAAAATAAAGAGAACACCTTAAATATTAGTTAAAATATTTCTATCTCATATAGGACTTTCATATGGAATATAGGAAAGGAGATGATGTTGTTAGACAAATGACATCAAAAAAGATGAATAGATACACAAATTAAATATTTATTTAAGATGTCCAATAATCTGTTAATTCAATTTTAATTATCAGATTGAATACAAATAAAGCAAAAACGATAAAATAATAAAAAATATAGAGAAAGATAAAAGTACACAGTAATTTATACTGGTTCGAGTCAAGTCAATCCTACATCCAGTTCTCTGTTACCTTTAATACAAAAGAAACAACCTAATTCACTATCTTCAAAATTCAGTTTACAAATTATAATCAACTTTGCAGAAGAACCAATAAACAGTAAATTAATTAAAAAGATAAACATCTCTCTAGAAATGAACACATCCTCTGAACAAATCAAAGGATAAACATAGAAACATACCTCTCAAAAATCTCACTTGAGATGAACACCTCCTCCGAACAAATCAACGAATGAACTCGGAAACACACCTCTCAAAAATCTCACTTGAGATGAACACCTCCTCTCGAACAAACCAAAGGATGAACTTAGAAACACACCTCTCAAGAATCTCACTTGAGATAAACACCTTCTCTGAACAAATCAAAGGATGAACAGTTCCCACAAAGGAAACCCTAAATTACAAGAATTTTAACAAGAATAGTCACACATGATAATGGAGACAACAAAATGTAGAATGATAGTTCCAATAACAAGTGTGATTAACAATGAAAGCAACGAAGACAATAGGGAAAGCATTTTCTCAAAAAATGTAAAATGTCTCTGTTGCCTTGCTCAGAATGATTTTCTAAAAATTGATTTTCTGTTAATTGTGTATTCGAATTCTATGTTTTTTATTTTTCATCAAAATTCATTTAAATAGGAAAATATCATTGAATATGTCAGAATAAAAATAAAAAATGGTCGTTGCTCAGTAATTAATTCGTAAAGACAAATCAGGATGTTTTCAAGAGCTATTATTCTTCAAAAATGGATATATTTTTCAAATTTGAAGTGTCATAATCGATTACATTACTTGCATAATCGATTATGATTGAGACAAAATCAATTTTTCATTTCTGATGCATCATAATCGATTATGGTATTTGCATAATTGATTATGACAGTGAGACTTTCAAAAACAATTGCTTCAATTGCTGACATAATCGATTATGAACCTCTCATAACGATTATAACAGTGAAAACTGTCATAATACGAAAATTATTTCACACTTGTGTTTTGGAAGCTTATGCAAAATACTATTTCATCAACTTGTACCTCCATATCCATGTTCTAAGACTCTATCTAGTCTTTGGGCTTGCATGAGTCTTGAATGGTGTCGACTTGAATCTTCATCAAAATCATCATCTTTAGAATGTAGAGAAATATTTCACATTACTATAAATCTCCCCCGCAGTGCTTTCAATCTCCTCTTTTTTTATGATGATCAAGGAAACACCTAAAATGAATTTAAAATGATTGACTCTATATAGTCAGCTCAAGATTAGCACAATATATTTAAATCAAGTGTATCTTAAACTCCCCCTAGATATGTCAATAACAAAACTTCCCCTTACTTATCTGAGCAAACTCCCCCTTACTTATTTGAGCAAAACTCCCCCTAACTCCCTTTATTTACTTCAGAATTAGGAATGAATTTCACACAAATTTTAATTCATCAAAATATCTCATTGTTTCATTGATAATCATGAAAAAATATTACAAGAGAAATTTTTAAACCAAGCCAAATAAATTGTTGCATCACAAACAAAGGTACTACATCAAATTCAAGAAAGAACATCAAATTCAACATCAAGAAAATCCTATGAACTAAATATCATCCTCGTCGTTTTGCGCATAGGATTCCCTGATGGTCCTTTCAATTGAAAAGAGATGACCATCAATATCCTAAAAACCTCTACGGATGGAGGAAGTCATGGCATCCACTCTTTGATACATGTAAGCATTCAGGTTTTCATAATTTTTCTGCTGAATGGCAAAACTCTATTCTTGAGCAGCTGCAAAATTCGTTTGTCAGTGCTGTTGAGATTCATATCTTTGATCCTTAATTACATAAAGATCCAACTACCATTGTTGCATACTTCATAGCATTCCCATGTAGTCATCTTGGGCAGGAGGAGGATGGGGCACGTCTTGTTCCATTGTCGCTAGTCTTTCAATTTGAATGGGTTCGTCCTGAAGGACCCATGAGTCATCTGGTTTATGCAGACCCATCCTGTGCAGCACATTCTGACCAACCGTACTGCTACTATCCAACATGGCATGTCTCTCATTGGAGACATCTACACCCATGTAGACCAAAATCTTCGAAATGAAGAGAGCATATGGCAGGTGAGAGTGTAGATGGCTAGTCGTGCACAGGTGTGAAGTTATGATGGCTGGCCAGTTGAGAGGGATTCCTCTTGTGATGCCATAGAGGAGAAGTACGTCCTCAGTAGTCAGCTGAGCATGATTTGTTCCGCGAGAACAAATCATCAAACTCAGCACATATGCCAGCAGACGTTCATTCACCCTCATGGGGCCAGTCTTATATAAGTTAATATTGCCAACATTCTCATCCTAAAGAAAACTCCGGTAGACCTGCATTTTGTTGAAACCTTCAAAACCTTCAGTGATGTCCACACCAACATTGGTGGGAACTCCAGTCACATTTAGCCAGATATCATTGTCTAGCACGATATTAACACCTTTCACCCAGAATAATAGAGGTCATCCTCATCCCGCTTCAGATTGCTGTAAAATACCTTTACCAAATCAAAATAGTAGAGTTTTTCAGTGCAGTCTCCACCTCCTAACTCCACAAATGTGGAGAGACCTTGATTTGCTAGAAGCTCTTGAAAAAAGAAACCTTCAGAATGGAAGAAATCTTGAGACAGACATTTTGGAGGAACTAACTTTCTATCTTTGAAGGATTACAGAAACCTATCTTGAAGATTGTCATCAGAGATCCAACCAGATAAGTTG